TCAGTTCCTAATGACTTAGTTTCTTAGCCAGTAAGAATTTCCTTGATTCTTTTTTTCCTGCCATGTGAATACTAACAGAGCTCTCAACCAGTACTGCAATGAATAAACAAGTAAATGAAAAAATATTTATTGTGTTTAATTGTGTACTGGCTACTTCCCTCTTTGAAGGTCTTCAATGCAACCCATCTTTGTAGCAATTTATGATTTAGGTTTATTTACTTGTATTATACATAGAGTTGGGAGCATAAAGGGTTAGATGAATTTCTCAAGGTCAACACAGCTTATTGTTGAACTTATGAGTGGGTGGGTGGGTGGGTGGATGGATGGATGGATGGATGGACATTTCTGGAGCTAATTTGGATCCTCCTATACTGGGATCAAGAACATTTGCTCAGGAGCACTGGCTCCCAGTTACAAAAACTAACCTCTTGCCACACCTAAGGCCAAGCTGAAAGGGAGGTGAGGAAAGCCACCGGAAGTACCTCGAGGTCTGTGTTAAGTGCTATCTCTTGCACAGACTGCACGGAGGGTTGAAGCCTGTTAAGCATCACGACTGAAGTTAAGTCTGACATTAAGGAAAGAGGGAGAAAGAGAGAAGAAGAGAGTGGTGGTACCTCAGGTACCCCCAAGTACCATTGCAGTTCTGCTTCCTGCCCAGAATAACAGAGGTGACCAAGGAGAGCTGAAAGGCATCACAGACAGTGCTAGGATCCTCAGAGCTGAGTTGCAGCACAGCCTGGAGCATTGCAAGCTGGAGAGCAGGATGTCAACCCTCCAACATCCAAGCCTGCCACCCCGGGAGAAGCAGTTTCTCAGGGGCACACACACTACCACACCACCCGTACAGACTGGCCCCAAGACAGACAGGAGGAGCCCAGAGTCCCCAGGTTATGGTTCTGAGACTTTTATTCTCCTCTGTCTAAAAAAAATAAGAAATCAATGCGCTTTTATCATCGTGATCAGACTCTGTTGGTCAGGCCTGCCAGGAGACTTCTCTCTTATTCTTGCATTTTTCAGAAGACCTGGATTGTAAGGTCCATCTTGGTTCTGGCATTCCTTTGCCAGGTGACCTTGAACAAATATCCTTACTTACATGTCACCTGTCTCATCCCTAGGGTGAGGACATCAGAACTGATCATAGTGTGGAAACATCTAGCCTTGTTTTTATAAAACGGTGGAAGGAAGCAAAGGGCCCAACCATCCTGAGCTTACACAAAGGGTCCCAATGAAGCCTGCAACCCTGTGAGACCCCAGGTGTGAGGATATTTAACCAAGTGTATCCCACTCTGGGAGAGCAGGCTGGACTCCCTGTGGGGTGAGGACTTGTCTTATAGAAGAACCCCCATTTGCCTTGGAGACCCTGGGCAATAATCAGGACATTAAAAATGGCATGATGAGCAAGATCTGTTAAAGTCAGGTATTTATCTCCCCTCCCTAACACTTTCAGGTAATGTTCTTAGAACCCAAAGACCTTGGGGTGTGGGGTGTGTCCCCCACTCTCCCTCCCAGAGGCTAAAGAAGAGGGAAGGCAATGCTTTGCATGTTTAGGGGCCCCTTGGCCTTTTCCAGTGCAGTGCCACTACAGGGTAGTGAAAAGACTGCAGTCACAGTATCTCCACCTGTTCTAAAAAGATAAAATAAAAATAAAAAAGAGGGGACATAACTCAAAGGGAACTTCTTCAATGGAAGAAGAGAGACACCCCATCCACCTAAGCTTCTGGGCTCTCTTTTGTTGCTAGCCCCAAACCTATCCCACCAGTCTGCTTATAGATGACATAGCTTGGAGGGAAGGAGAGGTCTCATCCCCAAACTGGTCAAAGTGCCATAAAGTAATATTCAATTCGAATTCCCTGCTACAGACTGAGGTTCCTTCCTACCTTGCCTCTGAGGATTCCCTGGTCTCAGTTGGCAGCTGTGGGCCCATAAAGAGGAGCCTAGGCTCAGTCTCAGGATTCTTGGGTCTCTGGTACCTTGAAGAGGAAAGTCTGCTTATGACGAACAATGTTACTTTTCCTTTTCCATTGGTACAGTCTGGCTCTGCCGCCATCCCTGCCAGGGGCTGGAGAGGGATAACAGCCAGAGAAAAAGACTCCTGAGTTCCTGGCTTTTCTTTTGGTTTTCTCTGGTGTTTAGGGATGGGGGTGGGTGGAATCAAAAATTTGTGAGGGCTGGAGCTACAGCATCCTCGAGTCCTTGGAGGGGTGAGGAGTGGGTGAAGACAGGGAGTGGTTTCCTTGGCTGAATCTGCTAGAATCATCCTTAGAGAAAGATTTGGCCTTGGCATAGCTCAGAATCTGACAGCTTTGGCCCCAGCGGCACTGGAAAAGCGGGTGGCACACTCCTCAAGTCCAGGTTCCTCCCGGCTTTCTGCAGAGGACAGCAGATGCAGAAGGTGGATCTGTTTTTCAGTGGTTTTGGTCTGCGGAATGCGGCGCCAGACAGACGCTGCAGAGACAAACGTCCCACCCACAAACGCAGAATAAGGTGCTGTGAGGATCCTCCTCGCAGCCTTTGCTACACACACACACACACACACACACACACACACACACACACACACACACGTGTTAACACGGACAGTAAGAGTATTCTTGTCTCTGATACGTGTGTCAGTGAGTGCGGGGCTGGGGTTGAGTGTCAGACACTCCTTCTGCCTAGTGAAATCTACACTGGTCACCACCCCCGCCTGTATTTTTTCGGAGGTCTTGGTAGCCTGGTTTAGTCAGCTCTGCACTGAGGGGGCTCCTGCGAGGGGTAAGGAAAGCCTCAACCGCGCGCCCTGGAAGAGAGGTGCTGGCCTCAGCTCCGTTTGGCTCTGCGCAGCTCCCGACCCCTTTCTGCCAGCCCAGAAGTCTGCATCTGCTGATCTGCGCCTCAGGAGCCTCGGCCCTAAGCACCCCAGGCTAGGATCAAGCACTTCCAGAGAAGACCCCAGTAGCCAAGCAAGCCAAAGGCAGCCCTAGGTTCAGCGGGGACCTGGGGATGGGAATGGGGCTTCTGTCTGCCGCTCTCCCTTTTCCACGTACATAAAACTTCATGGGGCTTATGACATTATGGCTGCCGGTGGAAGAGGGAGTTCAACGAGATAAATGGTCAGAAACTAGGGGGAGAGGGTAGCAGAGATACGCGCATCAGGCAACCTTCCCAGTGAGTTCCACACTGCCCGGTCCAGGTGGGACGCATTTGGCGTCCATGCCACCCTTTCCAGGTGCCAGGTGCCTGGGTAATGTCGTCCCCAGCACCTGCGGGTCCCTGGCCTTGCCCAACCTGGTTGAAAGAAGTTCTACCCGAAAAAGCACACCATTTCTTTACCCCAGTGAAGGTTTCTTTCCTTCAGTTACTAAGTCTACGGGAAGAAAAGCTACCGCCGCTGGGTTAGAAGAGAGCAGAGGAGGGGGCACCGTGAGCCAGCGACAGTCTGCAAAAAGCACCGCCCACCACCCACTCTCTCTCCCTGAGACAGGCTGGGTGAGCATACCTGGCTCCGTTCTCCTTAACGTCAGGCGGATCCTGACGGGCTTAAGTGTGCCCTGTTTCCATGTCTTGGGATGTTTGGAGTCCAGATTTTTTAAAATATTTTTGGAGTTAGAGAGAAATCTAGGCAATGAAGGAAAACTTGAGGTACCGGGAAGGGGGCACTAAAGTTTGGGGGGAAGTAAAGCCCAATGGGAGACTCGGAAGAGCTGTCTGTGGGCCCCAGCTCTTGTGAGTAACTGGAGATAACAGCTAGCTCACATTCCCATTGAAATGGGGTCCGTCGTTTAGTCTTGCCTTCCCCCAACTACTTTCACTACGATATGATAGAATAGTTTCTAAAAAGTATTCCTCTTCTTCAATCCAGCCCTGGGCCATGAATCCCGAGCCCGAGTTTGAAGCCGGAAAGCAGCTCCAGGGACTGAAGGGAAATGAAGAAGAAATGCAAGACCCGGCAGGAGCAGCCCCCAAACTTTCCAGGAGAGGGGTGCCTCACAGGCTCTAACCTCAGCACTCTCCTCCCTTCCTTGGATGGGAGGAGTTCCAGGAATCAGATGCTATGCTGTGTTTCTAAGAGGCCTCGTGCCCTGGCATCACTGTGTGCCAAAAATTGTAAGGGACATCTTTTTGCTGTTGTTGGCTGCTGTTTCAAAAATTTCCCCAAAGATGCTTACTATCTTAACGCTTTTCGTTTCAAGGAAAGGAGGTGTGTGTGGGGGGGGGGGGGGGGATGGTTGTAGAAAAGGGCTTCACGTTTACAAAGAAAGAAAAGCCTTGTAGTTGTCATCCTAGTAGCTGCATTACAGTGTCAATGCTGCGATGGAGTGGAGAAGCTGACTCCTAACTCCCCAGGACTGTCCTGGGTGCCTCCAGGGGGAGAACTGCAGAGGGAGATTTTATGTGGGCCCGGGTGGGGGGGAGTGGGGGGGTGATAGGTTTCCTAGATGCTCCACAAACTTGCTTCACCTCATTACTGCCCACTTTCTTTGGCCTTTTTAAAACGAGGGCACTGGCGCTTGGAAGGCTTGGTCTTTAGTCCCTGACTATTATGACCTTTCTGTTCTTTCACCAAACAGTCGCACAGGTGTGGCCCCCGAACCCTAGGCTAGTTGCTTAGCAAAGTCCCAGTGAGCGAGACTGCACCCTGCCCTGTTTGATTTCAGCTCAGCAGTGGGGCGGATCCCACTCTAACTCTGAGCTCTCCAGAGCCGCAGACATGTGTGTCCACTGAAGGCCGACTCTGCTTAGGGAAGCCATCTGCCGAGCAGGCCCAAGATTCTGCTGTCTGTTGCTCTGCAGGCCTTGAACCCATGGGAGGCACAGACGTAGGAGGGGGTTGCCAAGGGCCTCTGTGCTGGGTGAAAGCTCTCCCACTCTACAGGGGTGTCTGAGGTAAGATGGCTTTGGGGACGCTTCCCCCTCCTCCAGTTGTTGCCATCTGCAGTGTCTCAGTGCCCAAGTCCTGGTCCCGAATCTTTGGGCAACTTAACAAATTCATCAACCCCAGCAAGCCAGCAAGCCAAAAGGCCTTTTACAAACCGTAGTAAACACTTTATTTACAAGTTAAAGGCCCCTAAGTGCAGCGCGTCCTTGTGCCAAGACCCCTGGTGCTCTGAGGAACAGTTCCACCAAGCACTTCACAGTGTGAGCTGCTTGGGTAAGGAGAACGGTCGGGTCGAATTCTTTCTTTGGTGGGGGACCTCAAAATTTGCCTCTCCTTTGGGAGTTGGGGCCTCGGGCAGCCTGGGCAGCAAGAGAAAACGTGTGAACCCCCGAAGGGGCCGCCTTCGGCATCTCCCATCCCGTCGACCCTTGCCGCCAACTTTAACGGAGGCACAAACTGCAGCCGGTGTTGGGGGAAGCTGCACGCCGCACCGTCAACCCAGTCTATAAGCCTGCCAGCGGGGCCTGGGCAGGCTCCGGGCTTTGAGGATTGCTGGTAACCGCGGGCTGGTGAGCCTGGAGGAGTTCGGAGCAGCTGCCGCCCAGGCTGCTGGCAACCCCCGCGCTGCCGTTGCTGCTACCCAGACTGCCGGCGCTGCCGAAGCTGAAGCCGCCTCCGCTGGCGCTGCTGCCGGCTGGGATGAGGGCGCCCGCGGCAGAGGCCTTGATGACCGTCGTTTGGTGCAGGGGCCTCTCCGTTCCCTCAGTCCGTTCCGTGTCGCTGGGGGCCATGTCCAGGGACTCCGAGTCACTGCTCTCGCTCTCGGCCTCGCCCTCGGAGCGGCTGGGGCTCCTCTCCTCCGGTTCCCCCTCGGTGGGGGCGCCGCCCGAAGGCTTTTCGCTAGCTTCTTTGTCCTTGTCCTTCTGCGCCTGCGCCTCCTTAGAGTGTCGCCACTTCATCCTCCGGTTCTGGAACCACACCTTCACCTGTGCACAACATCAGAAGAGACGCCAGGTAAATAACGAGCCCATCACGCCTGGAGTTAGGCCCCTGAGGTAGGAGAGCACGGGGGACGCTTGCTGCGCCTCTGCTACGCAGGCGCCTTAAGCAAGCATAAAACCCAGGTGCGGTCGAGGCATGAAGCCCACCCAACCCACTAGGAACAATCCTTAAAACGTGGCCCTCGACTCTAACGCCTGAAATGACCTGGGTGCAAGCCAAAAGGCCTTTTACAAGGCAAACTCCGGACCCCTGTAAGACGAACTGAAGTTAGGGAGTCCTGACTCCAACCTGCACTCATAACCCAGCTGTGCACAGAATGTCAAGATTTGGAGAGCCAAGATTAAGAACATCCAGACACTGCCCAAAGCAATTCACCGGGAAAAAACACGCCACCACCACCACCATGCTTAGGGTTTTAGATGGGGTTTCTTTAGAGCCCGGACTGGCCTTGAACTTGAGATCCTCCTGCCTCTGCATCCTGAGTGTTCAGATTATTGCCCTGTTTGTTTTAAGGGTGGAAGTGGGCAAAAGGACAGGGGAAATGAAAGAGTTAATCCCACTAGACCAGGGCACCTGCTGGCTTTTAAGTAAAGGAGAATCAGCTTGGCATATTTTTACCCTAGAGCTGATGTAGACCTTGACTTTGTGGAAAACAAACTTATTTTCCTACGGGGCTCTGAAAATGCTGGTGTTAAGTGTGCAGTTTGTGGAGGAACAGGGAAGAGATGGCGCGGAGAATCTATATAAATCTATGACCCCCTGCGGGAATCAACGCATCCGCACAAGTTCCAGCTTCCCCTTTAAAAATAACATGCACAGCTGGTGGAAAGCGGCTGGGAGCCCAGCGTCTGTGTGCACTGAGGAAGCGCGTTGTGTAATGGAGAACAGAAAGGCCCAGGACTGAGGTCCGACCCAATCGGGCAGCCATGAGCGCCTGCTTTGGCTTCTGCCCTCTGGGAGTCGGCACTGGAGAGGGCAGAACAGGATGCGCATGTTTCGTTTTGTTTTGTTTTTTTCTTCCTTTAGCAAAGAGAAACTCTAAGTCTTGAAATTTAGAAGAGTTAAAAAAAAAAAATAGTTCCAGGACAACAGACTTCCTAAATCAAGTCGGCAGAATCTACTGGAAAAAAAAAATGTTCTTGGGCAATCTAAGAAAATGTTTTTTTCTTTCTTTCTTTCTTTCTTTCTTTCTTTCTTTCTTTCTTTCTTTCTTTCTTTCTTTCTTTCGCTCAGCTTCATTGCCAGCAAACAGGCCGGTCAGAGCTTGGACTGTTTGTTAGAAAGTGGGACTGTGGCCTCCTATCCCCCGCCCCTTCGTCTTAAAGCACGCTAAGCAATTCCGTTTGAAATTATATTTTCAGTTCCTCACAAGTGGGATTTCACAATCCAGTGAGGGGAGGCGGGGACCAAAACAATCTATTGACTTTGGTTTTTATCCCTTCTGAAATAAACTGCCTCCTACAGCGACGTGCACTCCAGTGCCTAATTACCCTCCGCCTCGCCTCGGCCTGTTTGCTTTCTCCGAGGTTCTTCGGCCTCTTGGCCAAAATAAACATACGGTGCTCGTTGACATACCTCGACAGGAATGGGCTATTCTCTGCGTCCCTCTCCTTCATCTCCACCCCTACCCGCCTCCCCTCTGGCTTTGAGTTGCTGCACTACTTCGAGGGTCTGGTCTGAGGTGATGGGAGTGGAGGAGGCCTGCCGCCCAGCCCGGTTTACCGTCCACTGCCTGCAGGAGAGCACCCAGGGAGTTAGCCTACCTGTGCGTCGGTGAGGCCCAGCATCGCGGCCAGCTGCTTTCGGTCTGGCTTGGTCACGTACTTCTGGATCTCAAACCGCTTCTCCAGGCCTTTCCTTTGCAGGTTGGAAAAGACCGCGCGGGACCAGGAGCGCTTCCGCTTGTACGTCTGTGGCATGGTGTCCTTGGTGAGCACTGCATAGGGACCTGCCAACCAGCAGGAGGAGAGATCCAGGGCCACGTTAGTGTCGGGGCCTCTGAGAGTCGGGTCCCACAATCGCCTAAGGAAGATTTTTACAGGGCTTTGCAGGACTGCTTTAGGCCCAAAGCTGGGAAGAGCCGTGGATTCGTTCAAGAGAAATGCATAAACCAACCGCATAGCTACCAGACATGCTAAAACAGTTGGAAATGTCCCTGGGGCCTGAATGACCCGCCAATGGCAGCCCTGTCCTCCCCCACATTTGTCTTTCAGAGAAGACATAAGCAGCATAGCAAGACCTAGGGTGTGTGTGTGTGTGTGTGTGTGTGTGTGTGTGTCCTTCGCCTCTGAATACTTCATTTTAGAACAACCTTCACCGGGCAAAAAGAATAGGGCCAGTGATCCACACCCATAGACATACTATCTCGGCTCCCCTAGCATGGTCTTCTCTAACTGTCCACTAGAAAGAACGCTAGCTTCTCTCATGTGACTAAGGAGGCTCCTACCCCAACTACTGGGTTTTCACACTGCCACCGGCCTTTGCAGCAACTGTCCCTGGCCACCAGGCTCACAGGCTGAACTAGAGAAATTTTCTACCTGGAAACGTGTCTTGGAACTGATGCTGAACTGAATTTCTTGGGTTGGAGCTTAAAGGGCTGAGGATGGCAGACGCCTCGTTAATGGGATCTAGAGATGCAAAGAACTGTCCGGCTGAGGGCTGCAGGCCAGCTAGGTGCACTCCTGTAGGCCGGCCACCCGTTAGCAGCGATGTAAGATCTGGGTAGGGGGAAAGAAAGAGTCGGTTACACCTTGGACAAACTCATACACTCTGGGCAGATTTGTCCCTCCTCTTCCTTCTCCCTTGATCCCAGTTTTATCCTGCCGAAGTCAAAAAGACTCCTTATCCACGATTAGCCCTTTCCCCGACAGCAGCCAAAGAGTGTGGCCTGAACTGTCCCTGTGTGTCCACCATTCCCACCCCACAACAAGAAAAGGCTTTTATAAGATGGTGATCTTCCGACGCCTTCCGGGAAGTCCACAAACCCCTAATTTACACTCCCTAGGCCCCCCACTCCGCCTTCTCCCTTCAGAGCTTTAGACTGGCCACCCCACCCACAGGCAATTCTTGGGAAGAATTTTTCTGGAAATCGAATAGGTGCAAAGTGACCCTAGGCTGAGATTTCCCTGTAAGAAAGGTCTAGGTCTTTCTGCGAGTATTTCATTCAAAGGATGGATTATACCCACGTTGGCAAACGTCTACAGTAATTCTGTGCTGTTTAAGGAACCCAAGGTTTTTTTTCAAACATGGAGTAGCTGCGTTTTAAATGTCTCCTAGTTTTCTTACAGTTCGTTTCTTTTTCCCCCGTTGCACCTTTTTTTTTTTTTTCCTTTGCATTTGTAAAAGCACCCTAGACGCGCTCGGCATCGGGTGGTCGCGAGGCCTCAAGCCTCCCAGCCAAGACGTACCTCTCAGCGTGTTGCCTTCCTTGACTTTTGGGTCAAATTCCGCGGACAAAATTCGGTCGATTCCAAATTTGAGGTCTTTGCTGGAGGGGGCAGGGGCGGAGGCGCTCTGGTGCGGGACCACCCGCGTCCCCGGAGCCGGCAGCTGCAGCGAGCCCGCCAGGGGCGGAGGCGGAGGCTGCGGCGGCGGCGGCTGCTGCTGCGGCGTCGGTGGTTGCTGCGGGAGATGCTGGTGGTAGGCGGCCGAGAGCGGAGACAGTCGCTGGGGGAAGCCGGCGGGGACCTCGGAGGGCGCCACCACCGGGGTGGGACGCAGCGGGGACCTGGCGGCCGCTTGGAAGGGGGCGTGCGGGTGCACGGAGCCCAAGTGCGCGGCGAGCGCCGCCGAGGCCCCCGCCAGCCCCTCCGCGGCGGGCCCCGGCTCCCCGACGCCGGCGTGCAGGATGTCGGCGATGCAGAAGGAGGGCTTCTTGACCGCGGCCGGGTCCAGCGGGAAGGAGCAGCCGCCCGGGCCGGCCGAGGAGCAGTAGGCGGCCGACCAGAGGCTGAAGTTGGAGGCATAGAAGGGAGCCAGGCCGGCCGCGAACATCCTGGCGGGGTCCCCGCGCGGTCCTGGCTGAGTGGGAAGGCGGGTGGGCGCCTGGGGAGAGGCGGCGCCCCGGCCGAGCCCGTGCGCTTTCGGTTCTCCGCTGCCCCGGAGCCGAGAGCCGGGCGGGCAGCCCCGGCGCCGCCGGGGAGGGGGGAGGCGAGGGCCCGGTCGCCGCCCGCCCCGGCCTCGGCCCCTGGCCTGGCTTGAAAGGCGGCGCGGCGGGCGCGCTCCCCGCGGGATGGAGGCGACCGCCGGGCGCAGGAGCCGGGAGGCGGGCGCGGCCTCGCTCCGCTTCTCCCGAGGAGCCGGGGAGACGGGGCCCGGCACCGAAAGAAAAACCCAAACAGCTAAGCCCTGGGAGCTAAATTTAAAACAACAATAATGATCCGTTAGTTACAAAAAAAAAAAAAAAAATTAAGTAAAAAAAAAAAAAAAAAAAATATAAAACTCCTCTCTAAAAACTCCCAAAGTTTTGGCAGGAGCTTTCAAGTCAGACCCGGGGTAGGACCTTGATCCGGGCGCCCATTGGCTGTCTTCTCGGCCAATGGGACTCGGGAGTGGAGGGGGACTTGGAGCGAGGGGGCGTGGCCCGCCCTAGCCACGCCCCGGCCACGCCAAAGTGTTTTCTGCGGCCGCGTGGGCCGGGCTGGGCACCGCGCGTCTCCGCCGCCGCCGGGCGGCCGAGTCGGCCCCTCCGGCCCCTGGCTGTCCTCTGCAGCTCGGGGGCCCGCCACGGGCAGAAAGACGCCGGCCTCGGGGCTTCTGGAGGAGCTGTTTGGAGGGGAGCACTCCCTCCCCCTCCCCGCGGCCTCCCCCCCCCCCCCCCCCCCCCCCCCCGGTCCCCCCCCTTCACGCGGTTTTCCTTCCCGCTGGTTTCACCTCGAGGGGCAGCGCCCCAGGCCCGGGCCCCTGCAACCCCGAGTCCCGCCCCAACCCTGCGGTCGCTGAGCCCGTCCGCTCGCGGGAGCGACTCCGAGGAGCCCGGAGGACGGCCGGCGGCAAATGGGTTTTATTCCGAGCCGCCCTCCCCGCGACGGCTTCGGAGAGTGGCCTTTCAAAGCAGACAGGCGGTCGGCCCCGAGCCGCGGAGACCACGACACGCGCCACCCCGCCGCGCCAGGGAGCGCGGCGCGCGTCCCCTCCCCGCACCTTGTCGGAAGCGCCACCCCCCGCGGCCGCCGCGGCCCCGGTCACGTGGGGGCCGACGTTTAGCCAGGGGCCCGTGGCGGTCGCCTTTGAGCGTCAACCCTCGCTTTTCACCCCGCCGCGGCGTTTCCAGGGGCGGCTCCGGCCCGCGGGCGGGAGGCGCTGTCCGAGCCGCCGCGGCCTGCGCCCTCCATCCTCGCCGGGGTCTTTAGAAGTCGGGCTAGGTGTAGCGGGGGTTTTCTGCCGCATCAACATCTCTATTTTAAGAATTCGTTCTCTTTTAAATTATAGTCAGGATGGACTTCCCCGCCCCTCTCCCAAACAGACCACAGGCCACCCAGATGAGCTGTTCTTGCACATTTTCAGGAAGAAAATAAAAGAACGACAATAACGAAACCACCAAATCTTTTGTTTTCGATTGTCCAAGTAAGTGTCTCCGAAATGAGATTACAAGGCGTGCTTATTTCCCCTCGGCTCTAAAATACCGAAAACGCAAGGGACCGCGCCAGGCCCCTGTCCGTTCCGGATAGGAGTGGGCTCCTGAGAACATCTAGCGACTTCTTCGTGCCTGAAGATGTTGTCGTCTTCAGCGGCCGCCTTTCTCCTGACCGCAGTCAATGGCTAATTTATCACAAGACCTGCAAACTCTAGACACTGCGATCCTTCCCTCCCCACTTCCCCGTCCCCCGTCTCTCTCTCTCTCTCTCTCCCTCTCTCTCGCTCCCCTCCCGCATTCTCTCTCTCACACAAAGCACACACAGGAAGGCTCCCTGTCCCTAATCCCCCTGGCATCAGGCGTAGGTACTATCGAAAGAGATGAAGGGTATAGACAGTTGAGGGACAGTTGGCTGGGAGGAGAGGGGCCGGAAGTCGTGTCTAGCAGGGGATGGACTTGCAACAAGTACAAGGCCACGGGAGGCAAGGCTTTGGTTGAATGTTCTGGCGGGATGTGGTGACAGAACAGTTTCATTGACTTCGCCGGGCATTAGGGAAAGTAAGTCTGGGCTCCCCGGCTCTCTCGAGTTTTCTAACAGCCTTAATTCGGTTGCGATTCCAGTTTGACTGCAGACATCTAGCCAGAGAGCGGCCTAGACCAAGGTCCCAGTTCAAACAGACGCTCCCCCTCCCCCGCCCCCAGAGGCCTGCACCTTCTCCTCTTCCCCTAGAAATAAGGCTCTCCGCCCCTGTCCCATCTCCGCTGAGCCGGAGTTATGTGTGCGGAACTGGAGCGCTCTGCGTCCGGCGGTGTCCGCGGCCTGCCTCTGCCGCAGTTAGAAGCCAGGAGTGCCCTGCAGCTCAAAGGCTAGAGGGCAGGGCTGTTCCCCGCACCTCGTGCATTACAAGCAGCGTCTTCTCGGAGCGATCCTCTGCCCTCCCGGGCCTGCAGAATCTTTACAATCCTTGCAGCCGCAGGATTGAAGCTCAGCCGCAGCTTCAACTCCAAGGCCTAATCCAAGCTCCAGGTGGCTAAAGCAAAAGAAACAGGGCGGCGAGGGGATGGACCGGGGGGGGGGGGGGGGGGATCGTTGGGAAAGGGGGGGTTTTTTTTTTCTTTTTTTTTATTTTTTTTTTGTTACTCGACTCCCACCCCACGTAAGGCTGCGGCGCTTCTCCTGCGCG